CTCTTTCTCCTCCTCCTCCTCCTCCTCCTCCTCCTCTTTCTTCTTCACCCTGCCAGCAATTTTGGATTAGCTTCTGCATATTAGAGAAAACATTTGATCTTTGACTTTTGGGGAATGGCTTTATTTCATTTAGCATGATAGTCTCCAATTCCATCCATTTACTGGCAAATGCCATAAACTCATTCTTCTTTATGGCTGAGTAATACTTGAAAAAATATAAATATATATAGCATTTTCTTTATCCATTCATCTGTTGAAGGGCACATAGATTGGCTTCATAGCTTGGCTATTGTGAATTTTGCTGCTATGAACATTGATGTGGCTATATCACTGTAGTATGTTGATTTTAAATATTTTGGATACATACCGTGGAGTAGGATAGCTGGGTATGTCATATATATTACTCATAAACATTTAATTATTGGTGACAATATCCAGTTGGTATTTTTCCCCCTCAAGTTTTCTATGTTACTTCTTCCTCTCTTCAATATCGTTTTTTTTTTAAGTTTATTGATGTATCTTAGGGCTCATAGAGCATTCCAGGCACAGAGAACAGTGAGCACGAGGCTTATCATATTTGAGGAACYGTAGTTCCTTGTGCCTGGATCCTGAGAACAAAACAAAAAAAAGTTCAGCCTCAGGAAGGACCATTTAATGTTAGATCCTCACCAGAGACTGAACCAAACAGGGTTGCCTAAACTTGGACTTTTAGCCTCCAGAACCATGGACTAAATAAACCTCTTTTCAAGACAAACAAAACAAACAACAACAACAAAACACTATTGGAAGAATTGCATARGTTTGTTTCTTTTAGCCACACTGAGGCTTTTTAGCCCCAATCTGTTGATAAAATCAGAATAAAATCAGAATTTAATTTCTGCAGAATTGTAATTATAAAGCATGAATCTAAGCTCAGGTCTAGAAAGACAATACTAACTTAAATGACAGAAATTTTTAAGTGCAGATTTAGCTATTGGTTGTATTCATCTTCTAAATCATTTCTATGACAGTTGAATGCTAATACTAAAATGAACCAATATTTTAATTCCCTTCCGCTCTATAACATCTTGCTCAGTTTTTGTGATAGATTATTAGGCTTTGAAATACTCGTGAAGTAGAGGGAATGATGAAGGAAGAATATAAATGGTTTGTTTTCAATGCTCATCGAAGGCATTGGATCTTCAAATATATCTTTATTTCTCTGTTTGTAGCATTTTCCTGCAAACTGATATCAAGTACCACACCTCGTATTTATTTGAATGCAGATTCATTTGAGGTAAGTGATTTTTTWAAAAAAATATATATATTTAATATGAATGCAACCCATTTGTTACTAGGGGTTTTATCTACTTCCTCCAAATCTACTTGAGATTGCCTTTCATTCCCTTTAACAATAGAGCTAAGAGCTCCATTGGAAAGTCCTGGTTTTACCCAAGATTTTTTTCCAAGAATCTGCAAATCCTACTGGAATTTTGCTATAGGTCATTTCTGATTCCTGCTTATTCTTCCTTCTGCTGAGTACATATGGCCTACTTTGCTTGAGACTGGTCTTTATCACCACCCTGAGGCCACAACAAATCCAAGACTCAGATCCTTGATTTTAAAAATAAAAAAAAATTCATGTATCTAGCCATCTTTGTTGGAAGTTGGAGTCAATAGACGACATTTATATTGCAAGAATAAAATAAATTTGGAATGAAATATTAAACATCCTTGCCCTTAAAAGTTAAAATCTCTATAGTCAGATATTTTCTGATAGACATATTTTTTTGCTATATAATGTGCTTAAATTGACTTTTGAAGAATTTTAAGTAGACTTCATTTATTCCTTCTCTAACAGTTTTTGAAACAAATGTAGCTCTGAATTTTCTGACGTAATTTTTCTTTTCTGTAGAAAAACTTTTAAAATATTCCTCATATTGCAAATATGCTGGTGATAAATTCCTTCAGTTTTTGTTTGAGAAAATCTTGATTTCTATTTCATTTTTAAGGATAATTTCACTGGATATAGAATTCTAGGTTGGTGATTCTTGTTCATTCAATACTTTATTTATTTATTTATTTTTTTTTTGATTTTTATCAGTAGATTTATTTATTTATTTTTTTTTATTGGTCGTTCATAACATTAGTTCATAACATTAGTCATCGTCTCATTCAATACTTTAAATGCTTTACTTCACTCTCTTCTGATGAGAAGTCTGATATAATTCTTATGTTTGTTTTTCCTTAGATAAGATTTTTTTCCTTCTAATTTCTTTCAAGACTTTCTTTTATCTTTGGTTCTCTGCAGTGTGGATTTGTTACAGAATAGTGGATATTTTGGATATTTATCGGAACTTCTTGGTCTATGGTTTCGTGTCTGCCATTAACTTTGGAAAATTCTTGACTATTACCATTTAAACTTTTCTTCTCTTCTGTTTTCTGTTCTCTTTTATTTCAATTACCTGTATTACAACTTTGAAAAATTATCTCACAATTCTTGGATATTTATTTGTTTCTTTACCTCTCTTTCCATTTATTTTTCCTCTTTGTATTTCAGTTTTGGGGATTTCCATTGACATATATGCAAACTTAGTAATTCTTTCCTTGTCTGTGTCCTGTTTAATGTTGAGCTGGTTAAAGAAAATCTTTATTTCTGTTACAGTGTCTTTTAATTCCTATCATTTCCTTCTTATTCTTTCTTAGAGAAAGAATTCTCTTTGCTTATTTTGCCCATCTTTTATTTTATGTTTTCTACTTTTTGATTAGTCATTAGCATATTAATTATAGTTGTTTGAAATTCACTGCCTGATATTTTCAAAATCTTCATTAATTTCAGCCTGATTCTTACGCTTGCTTTGTCTCTCAAGGGTGTTCTTCCTAGCCTTTTAGAATGCCTTGTTAAAAGCTGAACATGATATATCTGGCAATAGGAACAGAAGCTGAGACCCTTAACTTGAAGTTTTATCTGTCTAGGAATGTTTAATGTTCCATGCCCTCTCCCTGTAGCATCACTCTCTGGGAACTCTCAGATGTCCAACTACCTGAAAGCTCTCTGAAATCAATTTTTTGGAGGGATTTGTGGAAGTGTCATCATATACATGCTTGATTAGATACTGGCCATTGGCCGTCAGCTTAACCATCAACCTTTCTTCCCTCCCCAGAGGTTGTCAGGACAGTGCTGAAAGTCCCAACCCTCTTGATCATGCCTTGGTCTTTCAGATGATCATCTCCCACTCTAATGCCACCTTCCTGCCTCCTGCCACCAAGTATCTCATTAGTGTACAAAAAGACAGTCTTAGCACTCTGGGGAGTCCAAGGGTTTCAGGAGCTATATGACAGAACACTAGTCTTGCTCTGGTGCATCTTACTTTGGAAAGCACTGTTTCACTTAAATATTGTGTTTCATATAATGACTCTGGTACTTTATCTCTCTAAACTTTTCTTAAGTTTCTATAAACTTTAACCCTTTTTATTTTCAAAGCTCATTTCTAAATGATCATTATTTAATGGTGGACACTTTTTTTTACATAATGGAAGCACACATGAAATTTTCCATAGAATGTGCTGCAAGTTACCAAAGCTCTATCACTTTTAACTCACGTCATTGAATTTTGCACAGTTAATGTTAATGTACTCTATTTTTAGAACAGTTTATTTATTTTATTGCCGCATTTWAAAAAATAACACTAATGTAGCAGCTTAAGGCATCTTAAATTTATTATCCTACAGTTTTCATGAGTGAGGAATTTGGCATATTTTATCTAGTTCCACTGCCAAGTGTCTCACAAGGCTTTTATGGTTTAGATATGTGATGTTCCCCAAAAGTTCATGTGCAAGAAAATGCTAGAATTTTTAGAGCCAAAGTGATTAAATTATGAGAGGTATGAATTAATCAGGTAGTGTATGGCTGGAGGAAGTAAGTCATTGCAGTTGTGCCTTTGAGATTAGTGTCTTGTCTTTGTCTCTCTCTCTCTCTCTCTCTCTCTCCCTCTCTCCCTCTCTCCCTCTCTCCCTCTCTCCCTCTCTCCCTCTCTCCCTCTCTCCCTCCCTCTCCTTTCTAGCTGTCATGTCCTGAGCTTCTTTCTTCCACCATACCCTCTCACCACAATGTTCTGCTCACCTTAGACCCAGAGCTATGGAGTCAGCCAACCATGGACTGAATTTCTGAAACCATGAACCAAAATAAACTTTCCATTCTCTAAATTTTCTTGTCAGGTCTTTTGGTCACAGTGATGAAAAGCTTACTAGAATAAGGCTGAAATCAACTGGTCAGGCAGCCTACATCTTCATTTGGAGTTTCAAGAAAAGATCTACTTTTAGCCTCTCTCAGTTGGTTGACAGAATTTACTGGTAGCCATGTGACTGAGGTCCTATCCTCTTGCTGCCAGTCAGGGACTGTTGTCACCAGGTTCACTCTCAGGTCTTTGCACGTGGCCTTCTTCACAGCAAAGCAGTTCCTTTCCTTAAAGGCAACAAAAGGACATATGCTGTAGCTGCAAATGTCTGACTTCTTGACTCTTTACTTTTAAACTCTTTTTAAAAGGGCCAACCTGATTAGGTTTGGCCCACTCACACTCAAGGGGAATGCATTATAGTAGTCTCACCTATATCCACAGTTTTTCTTTCCATGGTTTCAGTTTTCCATAGTAAATTAAGGTTCAAAAACATCAATATTTATTTTTTTTGATGAGAGAGAGAGAAAAACAAAATTTGCATGTTTTTATAGTATATTATTGTAATTTTTCTATTTTGTTATTAGTTATTTTTATTAATTTTTACTGTACTTGATTTATAAATTTAMTTTCATTATAGATATATATGTATAAGGAAAACCATAGTATATGGGATTAGGTTCTATCCATGGTTTCAACCAACCACTGGGGGTCTTGGAAAAGACCAAAAGATCCACTAGGGGGTCTTGGAAAATATCCATTAAGGAGAAGGGAGGATGACCATATACGGGACGGGCACAGTTAGAGGTGAGAATTTTAGGATCCTGCCTTCCACCAGATGGAATCTTAGGTCATTGTTTTTCATCTGTTTTTAAGAAAACTAAACATTAAATCTATCATTTTCCTCTAAACATTGCTTTGTTTGTATTGCACCAATATTGATATGTTGTAATTTCATTACCATCATTTCAAACTATTTCTCAATTTCTATTATTATTTCTTCTTTACTTATGCCGTATTAAAAAGTGTGCTAATTAATTCCCACAAAATTGTAATTTTTCCTAGATGTCTTTCTTTTAATTTTATTTCATTTCATATAAAAGTCAAATACTCTGGTTGCTTTTAGTCCTTTGAAATTCACTGAAATTTGTTTAGTACTCCATTATATAACATGTCTCAGTGAACATAACATGTACACTTGAATGTAATGTGTATTTTCTGGTCATTGTGTATAGCAAATATCAATCAAGTCAAGGTGGTTGAGAGAACTGTTGTAATTAACTGTGTCCTTACTGCTTGTTTTTCTAGCCATTCTGTCAATTTTTGAGAAGACCATTTAAATTTCTTTTCGTGATTGTGTGTGTGTGTGTGTGTGTGTGTGTGTGTGTGTGTGCATGTAGTTCTGGGGACTAAAATCAGGGCCTTATGCATGCTAAGAAGGTACTCTACCTCAGAGTTACATCTCTAAGCTCATCTTTCTGTGATTTTTTAAAAAAAAAATTAGTTGTAGATGGGTACAATATCTTTATTTTATTTATTTATTTATTATGGCACTGAGGATTGAACCCAGTGCCTCATGCAAGCAAGGCAAGYGTTCAACCTTTTACCCTTAAAAAACTTAGCTACATCCCCAGCCCCTCTTTCTGTGATTTGTGAATTTAATATTTATATTTTAAATTATGCCAGTTATTGCTTTATGCATCTTGATAATTTCTTGGATTTTGTTTTTATTAGTCACATATATAATAATTGTCAAATCTTCCTTAGAAATTGGCCTTTATTTTTATGATATATCCCTGTTTGTTTTAGGCAATGCTTTTTGTCTATAGGTCTATTGTATTTGATATGAATCAACCTACTCAAACTTTATAATGCTTACTGTTTGCACTATTTATATTTTTCTGTATATTTACCTTTACCTTACCTTTTTTGTGTTCTGTTTATGATGTTCCAGCATACCATATATAGGACATCTGTAAAAACTTAAGTTTTGCAGAGCTGGGATTGTGGCTCAGTGGCAGAGTGTTTGCCTTGCATGTATGAGGTACTGGGTTTGATCCTCRGCACCACATAAAAATAAATAAATAAAATAAAAGGTATTGTGTCCATCTACAACTAAAACAAACAAACAAACTTAAGTTTAACAACAAATATACCACCTATGGTAACTTAATTGCTCAATTTAAGTTTTTATAAGTGCCCTACATATAGAACACTGAGATATAATGAGTTAAATGTATCTGATTATGGAAACATGAACTTTGATTTTACTTTTTTGATTCAAGTTCTGACAATCACTGCCCTTAACTTATAATAGATAACCTATTATTAGTGTAACTATTAATTGCATCAGATTTAGTACTAATAAGTTATTACTTGCTTTCTGTTTGTCTTCCCTCTTTCTCTTTCTCTGTTCTTCTCTTCCCGATGTTTTTTGGGAGAAGTGGCAGTTGATTTGAATAGTTTTTAGAATTCTACTTTTACCCATCTATTAACTTTTAGTCAAATGTTTTTCATTATTACTCTTCATGGCTGCTTTAGAGATTGTAACATAGATCCTTACCTTTTCATGTTATAGTTAAAATTAATATAGTAACACTTCATATAAAAGTAGAAAGCTTATAATCATATAAATTTATTGCACATTGCTTACTGACCTTTTTGTTATTGTTTTATTTATATTTATCTAAATGTCATAATTCCCATAAATCATGAACACAACTTTTGCCTTATGCGGTTATACATGTTTGAAAAAAATTTAGATAAAGTAGTGTATTATACTTGACTTAGAGATTTATGATTCCTGATGCTCTTCATTTATTCCTAAAGATCCAAGCTTCCTAGCATCATGTCCTTTCAGGTGATGAATTATTTTTTTTTAATCGGGGTTTTAACCCAGGGACACTTTACTACTGAGCTATACCTCCAACCCCACCCTACCCCCTTTTTTTTGCACCAGGTCTCACAAAGTTGCTTAGAGCCTTGCTAAATTGCTGAGACTGGCTTTGAACTTATGATCCTCCTGCCTCAGCCTCCCCAGCTGCTGGGATTATAGGTGTGCAACAGCATACTTGGCTCAGGTGATGAATTTTATTTAGCATTTTTTGTAGACTGCTGACAGTATATTTAGTTTTTCTTTATTTGCAAATACCTGCCTTTCCATTCACTCTTGAGAATGTGTTGTTGTTTGTTTGTTTGTTTTGCAGTGTTGGGGATTGAACCCAGGGCCTTAGATATAATAGGCAAGCTGTCTACCACTGAGCTACACAACCAGCCCTTACTTCCCTTTACCCTTAAAAAATTGTTTCACTGGGTATAGAATTCTTGTTTGAATTTTTACTTTATCTCTTTACATTTATTGTTCAGTTGTCTTCTATGATCTCTGAAGAAAGTCTGCATCATTGTAGTAGTTACTCCCCTTGATGTAATGAGTATTATTCTCTGTTTTCAAATATTTCTCTTTGTTGTTTGGTTTAAGCCAGTTTGAGATATACCTAGACATTTTTTTCCTAACTATTCTTTTGGACTCCACTAAGCTTATTAAATTTCTAAATTTATGGTTTTCACTAAATTTCTGGAACTAATTTTTCTGGAACTTCAATTACCTGTAGGTAAGTCATGGGATTTTTTTTTCTTCTCATAGATTCCTGTTTCTCTTTCCATCTTTTCCTATCTTTTGTCTTTTCCTATTTGTATTGGACAGTTTTATTTGTCTACCTGAAGTTCACTGGCTCATGTCCTTTCTATTTTGCCAGTAAGCCCATTTGTTGATTATTTTTATCCCAGCTATTTTTTAGTTGTAAAGCTTACATTTTCTATTTCTTTGCTGAGATTTCCAGTTTTTTAATTCTCTCTGAGCATAATTATGATGGCTTCTTTAAAGTGCCTGGTAACTATGTTAATTTTACAGTTAGCATTTGTTTCTTGACTTTTCCCATAGTGCAGTGTGAGCTTCTCCTGTTTCTTCTTCTTACGTTGAGTAATTTGAAATTGAATCATGAACATTGTGAATGCTGCATTGCAGTGGCTCCAAATGCTGTAATACTGCAGTATAACAATTTTACCAAATTACAAACTACTTCAGTGTCTGTCAATAGGGTCAGATTGGTATAATGGAATACCATAAAGCAATTAAAAAGAACTATTGTCAATATATTAGATAGCAGCCCAGATGAATCTATAAAAGGGTATGTTGAATGAAGAAATCCAAACACAAAAGTACAATCTAATTATTTGATTTACATGTAGATCACAAACAGAGAAGACAAAACAAGAGACACAGAAATCAGACAGGTGGTCATTTCTAGGTGCAGGTGTTTACATGCAGAACCTTCTAAAGTCCTGTAAATGTTCTATATGTTTATCTGGTTGATAATTAGATAGGTGTATATATATTTAAAGAATCATTAATTGTTCTTTTCAATTTGTGTGTTTCACTGCCTATTATATCTCAATATTCAGCATAAACATTTACAAGGAAATATCTCATTATGTTTAAGGAGTACTTAATTCAAATCTTAACTCTTCACAATATAGAATAGTGGTGATATCTCTTTTATCATTTTTCTTTATCTTCCAGGTTAGTTTGCATATATTTTGTGTGGAGAATTTATAATATTAGAAAGATCTTAAGAATATAATATGAAATGGAATCTTATATTATTTATAAAGCCCCCTCCATTACTAAATAAGACTGAATTATAGTTTTTAACTTCTCCAAATTATACACACCAAAGGAAACTAAAACATGTTTAAATTCATGTTTAYAAAGTTTGAGAATATTTTGGTTTCCATTGCATAAGTAACAACAATTAGTTACATGAATTAGAATTTTCTAGAATCTAGTCTTGCTCTGGTGCATCTTACTTTGGAAAGCACTATTTCACTTAAATATTGTGTTTCATACAATGACTCTGGTACTTTATCTCTCTAAATTTTTCTAAGTTTCTATAAACTTTAAGCCTTTTTATTTTCAAAACTCATTTCTAAATAATCATTATTTAATAGTGGGCAGATTTTTTTTACATAATGGAAGCACACATGTAATTTTCCATATAATGTGCTGCAAGTTAGCAAAGCTCTATCACTTTTAAAACATGTCACTGAAGTTTGCACAGTTAACTTCAGCAAATCACTCAGGTTAGCTACATTCTAGATGAACCGTATTAGAAGAACTGTTTTAACTTGTATTAACATTGTCAGCAGAAGCACTGGTAGGGAGAAACAAGTAGAAAATTTAGGAATGAAAGAAAGTTAGTTTAAAGATAATTAGATTAAAGATAATATAATAATTAGAATTGCATCAAGTTTTGAGTTAAGTAATCAAATGAAACATRCCAAGTTATTAAAGTCAAGGAAAACAGTTTTGTCAGATCCTTTTTCAGGGACAGAACACTTGCAGTCTCTTGAAAACAGTGAAGAAATAGTCAGCTGTGTGGAAAAAGTAGAAGTGGAAATGCTTAAAGTAATATATGGATTATATYACACGTAATAGTTCCTACATGGTGAGGAGTAAAATTTTCAAGTGATTGAATTCTATGTTATTAGGCCTTCTTATTTACATAAATACCCTAGTAATTCAACTATTAATAAACCACTCTTTTATTACAGGAAACACAGTTACTTCATTTGCATGATGAATAAGGAAGACTTTTTGAGAAAAATAGTGATGAGAAAAAAACTGTTACTTCATTACAGTTTTTGGTGCTTGACATCAGTTGGGCTTTTCTCCCATGTGGCATATTGTTAGAATTTCATCTATTCATATGTTTAAGGAAAGCAGAGATCATAGAAAACTGTGTGTCTACTTTCCATAGATCACTAAATATGACTGCAAATTATAGTTAAGAGAAATAGTTAAATAATGACCTTTTAAATATGGTGCTTTTATGACATTCACTTTAAATAGTCATAGAAACAAAATGGAGATACAATAAATATTTTTGTACACTTAACTATCCATTTACCTTTCATGTGTGTGAACACATGTGTGTGCACACGTGTGTGTGTGCGTGTGTGTGGTGCTGGTGTTGGAATCAAGGCCTCACACATTTTGTTGCATATGGATTTCCAGTTTTCCCAGCACCATTTGTTGAAGATGCTATCCTTTCTCCAGTGTATGTTTTTGGCACCTTTGTCTAATATAAGATAATTTTAATTTTGTGGGTTAGTCTCTGTGTCCTTTATTCTGTACCATGGTCTACCAGTCTGTTTTGGTGCCAATACCATGCTGTTTTTGTTATTATTGCTCTGTAGTATAGTTTAAGGTCTGGTACAGTGATGTCACCTGCTTCATTTTTCCTGCTAAGGACTATTATTTATTTTCGATTCTAGCCATGTAAGCAGGTATAAGTGGTACTCCGCTATGCTTTAAATTTGAATTTTCCTAATGGTTAATTATATCAAGYATCTTTTCATGATATTTATTTACTTTTTCATCTCATTTTTTTTCTTTTTCGTGTTRGGGATTGAACCTAGTACCTTATACATGCAGAGAAGATGCTCACCAGTAAGCCACATCCCCACCCCATCAGTGAAATTTTTTGAAGCAAAGAATGAAGTAAACATGTACCACTGGGGCTGGGGTTGTGGCTCAGTGGTAGAGCACTCACCTAGCATGTGCGAGGTGCTGGGTTCTATCCTCAGCACCACATAAAAATAAGTAAAATAAAGGCATGTGTCCCAACAACAACTAAAAAAAAAATGTACCTCAATCCTCCATCTTGATTCAGATGTCTTTTTGTTTATATGAGAAATACAAAGTTATGCTTTCCTCCTGTTTTAGGCAGCACAACAAGCAATTAACCATAACTGTGGAGATCTTGGAAACTTATTAGGTAAAGAGAACGACTTGGCCCTAATTATTGATGGTGAAACATTGAAGTATGCCTTAAGGTTTGAAATTCAGAAGAAGTTCCTAGATTTGGCCCTTTCATGTAGAGCAGTATTATGTTGTAGGTAAGAATATATTCATTCTTCATTTTTTTCTCTGTTGTACTTACTACTGTATTAACAGTACAGTATATGAAGAAAATATAGAACTGAAAATGTAAATTTCTTCAGAGACAACATTTCTTATTGGGAAAATGCATTCTCAAACAGAAATGCAAAAGTCTGTATTGAATTCTAATTGTCAGGATTAAGGTTTACAGGAAAGCAGTTAAAAATTTTTCAATGGTAAATTGCTTATTAATGAATGACAAGTTGGAAGAAATCTGCTATAATAACAAAGGTCACAGAATTTCTTTTGCATGCTAACAAGATGTTTGGTGGTTGGAAACTCTAGACAGCTTCAGGACAGGAAGAGATTATAAGAAAGACCAAAACAGGATTAAAGATTTTGATTTTATTAAGATTTCATTAAACCCTTTTTATCTAAGCCCTATCCCTCACCTCTTGGGAGCAAAAGGGGCGTAAGTTTAAATTGATCACCATGGCCAATAATCAATTATGCAACATAATGTAGCTTCTTATAGGCATCCAAAGTGCTAGCTTCAGAAAGTTTCCAGATAGCCAAAATGTAGAGGTGCCTGGAGGATGGGAGAAAGCATGGAAGCTTTACACCCTTTTCTCTTGAATGCACCCTTTGCAATAAACAACAACAGCAATAACAAAAAAGTGTTAGTAAAAACTTCCCTGAGTTCTGAAGCCACTCTAGCAAATGAGTCAAACCTGTGGAGGGGGTTGTGGAACATTTGTTAGAAGTGGGGTGAGGGTGGTCTTGGGCACTGAGCCCCTGACCTGTAGAATCTGACACTACATCCAGGATGATAGCTTCAGAATTGAATTGTATTAGATCACACCCTGTTGATGTCCGCTGGAGAACTGATTGGTTGCTTGGTGTGTGGAGAAATACCCCCAACCACATTTGGTCACTGTATGAGTTAGCCATTTCAAAGATCCGACCAGAATAACTGTAGAGGAGGAAATGTTTATTTGGTAATTCACAGTTTTAGAGGTCTCAATCCATAGATAGCAGGCTCCATTCCTGAGGGCTCCAGGTGAGGCAGGACATCAGGGCGGAAGAGTGTGGCAGAGGGAAACAGCTCACATGGTGATCAGAAAGCAAAGAAAGAGAGACTCCACTTGCTAGATACAAAGTATATACCCCAAAGCCAGGCCCCAATTCCTACCTCCTCCAGCCACACCCCTCCTGCCTCCAGTTACCATTCAGTTAATCCCATCAGGGATTAATTCATTGATTAGGCTAAGGCTATGACCCAATCATTCTCTTCCAAACCTTCTTGCATTATCTCACACATGAGCTTCTGGGGGACACCTCACATCCAAACCAGAAGAGTCACATTTGGTCTGCTCATTAGTGCTCAGAAGCATTCAGTGTTGTGTGTTAGTACAGATTAGGAAAAACTGAGTTTGTTTTTATCTATGCCCTTACTATCTTGCGTAAATTCCCCCCAATCCTTATTTCAGTTTTCCTGAATGGGACCACTATGGGAATTTTATGCTGTTTCAGCCAATAAAATGACAAGACAAACTTTGCCAGATATGAATGCAAAGACCATTTAATGGATGGAATGACATCAATGTTGGTACAACCATAGAACTTGGGAGATTTGGCTTCGTGCCTGCACATGGAACATAGCTTTATGTGGTTTTATTGACCGAAGCTTAATATTAAGGCAAATGTCATTTTAGATTTCATTTTCACAAATTTGGTAAGGTAGGTGTAAAGATCCAAAAGGGTGAGATTCCATTTTTATCCTTATCTGGTAAGGACTAATTTGGAGTTTTAATGAAAGACTCAGAACTGCCTCGTGAAATTAATAGGAACTTGATGTTAAGCAGAAGGAAGAGAGGGCTTAACGGTCCCAGTCACTCTCCTACTGTATTTACAGAGTTCTGATCGGCCCAGGGAATGGAATTAAGGTTTGAAAATATGAAGTCAGGTTTGGGATTGATACGAGTTTGTGTGTGTGTGTGTGTGTGTGCATTTCTCACAGATCCGGTAGTCTGAGTGTGAAAGTGGTTGTCCGACCAGATGGTAAAGTTATTAACACTGGAAGTTTTCTAGTAAAAAGCACCAGAGTCTTGGTGGGAACACATACCTGATTTCTAACATATACTTCAGAAAATGTTCACTCTTTTCCACTCTATTTCACAAGGTGGTGATTTTAACTCATTATGTCCTCTTGATGATGAAACAAAAGTTCTAACACATTTGTTTTAGTCAGCTTTTTCACCACTCTGAACGAAAGTCCTCACAACAATTTTAAAGGAGGAAGAGTTTGTTTAGCGCTCACATTGTGGAGATCTCAGTCCATAGATGTCCTCAGGGTCCAAGGTAAGGGAGAACAGCATAGCAGAAGAGTGTCATGGAGGAAAGCAGACCAGAACATGGCACCAGGAAGCAGAGAGTATTCCCCCAACAACAAATAAAATAGAAAGCCCAAAGGCTTGCTCTCAGTGCCCCACCTCCTCCAGCTGTACCCCACCTACCTACAGTTAACACCCAGTTAATCTCTATCAGGGGATTAATGTACTGATTAGGTTAAGTCTCTCCCAACTCCATGGTTTCACTTCTAATCTTTCTTGCCTTATCTCACACATGAGCTTTGGGGGTCACCTCATACCTATCATAACAGCATTCTCATCAAGGAAACCAACTATCTCCTTAGTTTTTAATAAACTCATCTAATTTAATTTAAATTAGTTTTTAGGAGCTTTTTTGAGAGAAAGGAATGGTGAGGTCATTCACTCATTAGAAAATAAAAATAAAATCTTTGTGTAGCCATCATTTTTTGATAGAGCTATAAGTCAAATTATTGAGTAAATGAAACAATGAGTGATAAATAGTACAAAAGCATTTTGCTGCTTCTTCCTTTGAATCTTTGAAAATATTTCATGCACAGACAGGACCTGTTAGCCTGAAATTATTTAGGATTATTAAATTTGTTTTTGTAGATTGCCTCAGAAAAAAATCAATGATAATATTCTAATCTGTGCTGTTCACATAGCATGAGAAGGAAACAAGATTTCATGCTGTTACATCACTTGTGTTTGTTGTTAGTTATCAGAGTCCAACTTTGACTCTATTTAAAAAAAAAAAAAAATATATATATATATATATATATATATAAATCTCCTTGAATGAATTCAAGTTCAATGGGGTGTAATTTGATTTTCAAAGGCTACTTCATATCCCACCCTTAGTATAAAGACTTTTAAATAGTGTCATAAATAGGAGACATCTGTCTTTCCCTCATGTAGATAGCTAACGTAAATTAATATGCAGGTTTGAGTCACACAGAGGGAGGGGGGATCTCTCTGCATGTAAACTAGGAAATGATAAGAATTTATTTTGCAATGTTGAAGAAGTTACTATGTTATTTATTTATTTATTGGTGGGAGTGGTGGGAACATTTTTGCATATGAAAAAAGTCTCATTAAAGAATTGGAAAACTTATGCCTGCACATGAAACATAGCTTTAGGTGGTTTTATTGACTGAAGCTGGGGTTGTGGCTCAGTGGCAGAGCACCTGCCTCGCACGTGTGTGGCACTGGGTTCAATCCTCAGCACCACATAAAAATAAATAAACAAAATAAAGATATTGTGTATATGTATAACTAAAAGAAGTATTTTAAAAAAGAATTGGAAAACTTACTAGTATCTTCCATTTAAATGTAGTTATGTGCTGATTATTGTTGACTTTTTTGTAAAAACTTTTAGAATAGTGTGAAGTAAAATGAACCTAAATGCAACCTTTAAAAGTGGTTCTGTCTATCTTCTTTTTCAGGCTATCTCCCCTCCAGAAAGCTGAAATAGTGGACTTGGTGAAGAAGCGTGAAGAGGCCATCACTCTTGCTGTTGGGGATGGTGCCAACGATGTGGGGATGATCCGGATGGCCCATGTGGGAGTGGGGATCAGTGGGAATGAGGGCATGCAGGCCACCAACAACTCAGATTACTCCATTGCTCAGGTCAGTGCTGTGGGACACCAGCTGGGCACGGGAGATGTTGATGAGTTTCCATCTGCCACTGAGGTGTACCTAACCTCTCTAAGCTGCCTCGTAAGAAAAATTCCACACATTTGGAGTTCTTAAAGTTTTTGTCCTTATACACTTTGGAGTTTCATTGATCAGCTCTGCAGATGATGGGCCAAACTAATGCCACTAAGAATTTATAGTCCTGTTAATAGAATCTCTAAATCCTCAGTCTCCTTACAATGTGTATTTTGCTTTATGGTATCTTGTGACAAAGATTTATTAAAGACATACAATCTCTTAATTTCCTTTTTTATTGGCAGTTTTTTTTTTTTAAAAATTGTTTAAAGCAGCTTTGGTTTCACAGAATAACTGAGCAGAAGGTACAGAGATTTCCCATGCACTGTCGTCAACCCCACGCCCAGAGTGGTATAGCTGTTACAACTGTGATCCTACATCCATGTATCATAATCGCCAAAAGTCCATAGTTTACATTATGGTTCACTCTTGATATTGTATGTTCTATGGATTTGAATAAATGTAAAATGATAGGTATTCACCATTATGATATCATACAGAATAGTTTCCCTAGAAATCCTCTGTGCTCTATCAGTTTATTCTTCCACATTCCACCTCCTGACTACTACTGATAATTTTCTATTACCATAGTTTTGCTTTTCCAGAATGTTATGTATTTGAAATTGTGCAGCATATAGCCTTTTTGACTGACTTCTTATACTTGATATGCATGTAATTTCCCCCCATGTCTTTTCATGATTAAACAGCTTATTTATTTTTAGCACCAAATAATATTCCATATTCTAGATTGCCAATTTGTTTATCCATTCCCCTACTAAAATTCATCTTGGTTTATTTCAAGTTTTGGCCATTGGACTTAAAGTGTCCATAAATATCCATGTATGAATTTTTGCATGGATGAACACAAGTTTTCAATTCCTTTGAGTAAATACTAAGGAGTGGGATTTCTGGACTGTGTTATAGAAGGTTTTGTTTTGTAAGAAACTGCCAAATTATTTCCAAAAGTAGATATTTAAGAACAGTATATACTCATGATTTATAACTGCATTTTTTTTACATAGGGACCAGTTGTAAATCACTCTGCATTTTTTAACATAGGGATCAATAGCTGAATTCCTAGGCAAAGTGGCTATTATTTGGCCTAATGACCCAGAAGCTGGGAACAAGCAAGTTTGCTCACCAGAACATTGTTATTTTTTTTTTTTATTTATAAAGCAGTATCATCTAAGTGATATTCCAACTTCCCCAGGCAGAATAACTACAATCTTGTTAAAGGAAATTCCCTTTTATGTCTGTATGTGTCAAGTTTTGCTGCTATAAAAAATTATCTAAGGCAGGATTCTAAGAAGAAAAAGGTTTATTTAGCTCTGTTTAGGAAATTCAAGGACATGGTGCCTACATTGGCTGACTTCTAGTGAGGACCCTCTAGCTGTCTAACATCATGGTGGATGGCAATGGTAGAAGCATATGTGAGAACACATGATTACATCTTGGTACAAAAAGACAAAGAAGCCTGGCTGAGGCCAAGCTCAGGCCTTTATAATAAGCCTCTCAAGTGAGCTACCAAGGGGTCCCATAACAACTGCCTTAATTTCTTCTGAGGGCAAGGCCCCAATCACCTATATGCCTCCCCTTAGGCTCCACATCTTGAAGGCCCCACACCAGGTGCCAATATTGCTACCCTGGGGACAAAACTTCCAACACATGGATCTTTGGAGAACAGACAACATCTAAACCATAGCAATAGCCATTTCTTGATTGATTATTTCATATGGAAGCAGCCAACCTCATGATTATGGGGACTAGAGGCATATAACCAATTAAAACTATGGGCTAACATTCACCAGAATCATAGAGATAGCACCACACAATATCCTTTACTACTTAACAAAAACATTTTCCTGTTTTTGCACTTTAGTATTTTGACTTTTGAAGGATATAATTTTTATTTAATAATTTAATATTGACTTTTAATGACTATAATATTTTCATCACATTCGACTAATTAGCAGCAACACTTTTCAGTCTTGCTGAATTCAGAAGCTTCATGTAATCTTTGAAAATCTCCCTAGGAATACCCATAGAACTCTGGGTAGGCTATCCTTATTTGGGGCAGTTGTTATTATAGCCTTTCTCTGAGAAGCTATATGATTTTTTAATCCACTCACAGGTTAGTAGATACCTGATACTTTTCTCCTTTTCTCCTCCTTTTTTTTTTTTTTAATATGGTGCTTGTTATCAAACCCAGGGCCTTGCATAAGTGAAGCATACACTTTACCACCAAGCTATGTCCCCAGCGGTACAGCAGACATTCTTAGAGGTCCATATTTGAATCAGATCAGTTCTAACCTACATATGCATGGATTAAATGTGCTGTTGTATAGAGAGGTAAACTGTGGCTCCTGTGTRTTAGGAGGTCTGAGTTGAGAAGCATGCTATTTGCTTATGATCATAGCATCTGTCTATAGACAGGAAATGGTCTCACCAAACTCCCTCATATCTTTTCCTTAAGCACCAACTACCATTGAGACACATGCTTCTCATAGTCTCAGCAATTATATATGATATAGCCTTGAATTGTTAAACACCATAGATGCACAATACTGTCAGGGATCACTACCCTGGAGTCTTAAAGGAATAGTTGTTTGCCATTTTCTTATGTATATCTAAGAAAGAGACTACAGCCTTTCCTTTTAAAACCAAATCTTAATGGGATTTAAAACTATGAGGTTGTTCTCTTTGGAGTTAAAGAAAAATCCAGAAGGGAGGTAGGATTTTGTGAGCTTTTGTTCTAGGAGATCAGCATTTGTCCTCAGGCAGGGCACTTTACACTCTGGAGCACCTGCCATCTGAATCCTGTTTTATCTTTGTTCTGGACTCCCTCATCACAGCTGCATTTGTGGTTAGGCAGACAGTACAACTTTTTAGGCTTTCTTTTCTTCCTTCTGGATGCCCCAGAGTTGACACACCAAGCAGTCCCTAATGTAGTGTATTGGTTTGATTCGTGCTTTGGCCCCTATTAAAAAGTTATTTCAGATTTATGGAAGCATTTTAAGTCACATAAATTTGCTTTCCTACCTTATTTTAAGCAACAGCAACTTATATTGGAGCTAGAAAAAAATAGTGCTACCATAATGTGTGATACTACTTTCCCCCAGAATGATGCTTATCCCCAGTATTGTGGTGGAAATTTGTCTATTTCTGCCCTATCTTCATTTTACCCTTATCTGAGTTTCAGTGATAGGTCAACRACGAACCATCATTTTGCCTTATGACCTCTTGGGTACAACTTTCCCCTGCCCAGAGCACATCAGTATAATATTCTCTTCAAAACTCTCTGATGAGAATTCATTATTTGCTATTTCCTCTCCAAATGTCTTACTATTTTAAAACTATCCTAATAAATAGAGAACTTTGATTTAGAATTTTTTCACCCCTGGAGATAAATCATTGCAAAACTAAAAACTGATAGGAATAGAAATGTTGTGTATAGTGACTCAAGTTTATTATCTGGTTCTGGGTTTCAAATGTTCTTTTCAAGTTTACTTATTTTTTATATTTAATCATATATCTTATGATTAAATATCTCCCTCCCTATCCTGCCTTTTCATGTTCCACTGTTAATCTTTGTTTTAAAGGTTAATTGTTTTTTGGTATATTTACCAACTTCTGTCACTTTGAAGTCACTGTTTAAATTAAGGACTTAACTAAATTACCATGAATTGCCTCATTTTGTAGAATAACTCATGAATATACATTCATTTAAAACATGTTTATTGAGACCCTGCCACATTCTGGATATGTTTCTAGGTGTGCTGGATTGGTCAATGAACAAAGTAAACAATGAGTCCTGCCCTCCTAAGGTTTATGATTAAYAACAAAGCACCATTTGCTGGACAAAAAGTGATATTTAATGGTTTATTTTTGTTGTTATTGTTGAAACAAGAGAATTCTTAAAAAGGTCATTATAGCCAAGTGCCATGTCAGATTGTTTTAGGACTAAAGTTCATTCTCTCCTCTTCTATATTACATTTGCTAAAGGGGGAACTGCTAAATTATGAAATACTGGGAACATAATACTTTGTGGGTTTTCACACTAAATGGTAGTTTCATTTGAACTTTTGTTTTGTTGACTATTGTTTCTTTTCAGTTTAGATACTTGGAGAAGCTTCTGTTGGTTCATGGAACTTGGAACTATTTTCGAGTGACCAAATGCATATTGTATTCTTTCTACAAGAATGTAGTGCTATACATTATTGGGGTAAGAAAGGAGATGCATTTCATTTTCTTTCATCAAGGAATTAGATCTTTTCTGTGATTTAGACTTGGTAATTAAAACTTTTTTCATATTAAAGTACTATCAAAAGAAAATTCCTTATAACKAAATTTAGCAGTTTACTTGAGCAATTCAAGACAAAAAAAAATTGTTGCTTGAGTACGTTCTGATTCTTGACTAACCCCTGGAACTAGAGCAAGTTATGAGAATTCTAACCAACAATGTGATCTGATAGCATTGATGAAAAACAGAAGTGAGATCTAGAAAACAACTTAATTAACAACACCTTGAATAATCAGTCAATGGGTTACAACTTAACTAATTAATTGCTTACAGCTTAATTAGTTAATTGTCTACAATTCCTCCTGCAACCAACCAAAGCTCAGGTATTGTGATTCAACTCTATTCTGGTTTGGACTGCTGGGCCCAGTACAGGTGCCTGTTCTAAATCCATGGATCCCCACAGATTTTATTTAACAATGCTGTTAACGAAATCCTGCTTCAAGTTTTTGCCTATAGAAGTGAATAAGTAAAAAGTGTCAATTAAACATCTTATATAATATCATGATGACAGACACCAGATACCTACTCACCCAAACACAGTTTGGTCTGTTAGCTCTAGATTCTTCCAGTGATTAAACATACCAGATATCTCTGTGCTTCCTTCCACTAAAGGATAGGAATGAGCCTGGAATTTTCAGTGTTACCACCACAGAGCTTGTGCAGATGTCATCAATTTTAGATGCATTGATGTGTGCATGAATATGTGCACTGTGTCCTTGCACTTTTATCCATTTTTATTCATGTAACCACCCACTATAGTAATCAAGATACATAACTATTACATCACCACAGAGGGATCTTCTTCATGCTACCTTTTTACATCCCTACCCATCTCTAACCCCTGGCAATCGCTAATCTATTCTCTAATTTTATAATGTTCTTTAAAATTTCAACCAAATAATATGTCATCTCTTCAGATGAGATTTTTTTTTACTCAGTATAATTCCCTTCAGATTGATCCAAGTCACTGTGTGCATCAGTAGTTTATTCTTTTTTATTTTTAGTAGTTTGTTGTTTTTTTAATTGGTGTGTTATACTTACACAATTTATTTACCATGGACATGTGGAAAAACATTTGTTTTTAGTKTGCTGCTAATAAAATTAAAATTTGTGTGAACATTTGTGTTTAGGTTTATGTGAGAAGTGCACAATTATTGAGTCATATGGTAAGTGCATGCAATTTTACAAGAAACTTCCAAACTATTTTCCAYAGTGGCTTTACCGTCTTAAATTTCTACCAATTATGAATCAATTATCCTGTTTCTCCAGATATTTGCCAGTCTGAGATATCATTACTATGTCTTTTTTACCCATTTTGATGTGTAGAAATATCTATTTTAGATTAAAATTAGATTTTCTTACTGGCTATTGATGCTGAATATCTTTTTATRTATTTATTTGCCATTTATGTATATATTTTGGAAATGTGTCCCCATATCTTTTGTCCATTTTATAAATATATCATTAGGGTTATTTTTGTTGTTGTTGTTTTATATTCTAATTATCATTTCTTTGCCAAATATATAGTTTGCAAGTATTTTCTTTCAGTCTGCAACTTGTTACCTCATTGTCTTAACAGGGTCTTTCACAGAACAAACATTTTTAATTTTGATTAGGTCCAGTTTATCTAATTTTTCCTTGTATGCTTGTAGCATCTTGTAGCATCATGTCAAAAAAAAGGTTTTTTTTTTAGCTTTAGGTTCCAAATATTTTCCTGAATATATTTTTTAAAAGCTTTGTATGTCATATTTAATTTCGTGGTCCATTTGCAGTATAAGATGTGAGGTTTTGCTTGTCTTTCTTTTGCCTATGGATGTCCAATTGCTGTAGTGACATTTGATGAAAAGGCTCTCCCTCCTCAATTAAGTCACTTTTGCACCTTTGTCAGAAGTCAGTTGGGCAAATAATAGAGAAATAGAAAAAATATGAAGAGACTTACAAGTAATAAGGAGAGATTGACTCAATAATTAACCCCCCCCACAACAAAGTGCAGCATTAGATAGCTTCACTAAAATGTTCTTCTAATCACTCAAAGAGGTAACATCATTTTCTCAGCTTATCTAAAAGTTGAAGAGGACTCATTCTACAAGGTCAGAATTACCCCAAGAGCAAGGCAAAACACACTATAAGAAAACTATAGACCAATGTTCTTGATGAATGTTAATGTAAAAATCATAAACAAAATACTAACAACTCAAATTCAAGAGCATATTAAATTGATCCTATTCTAAAACCAGAGAGATTTTGTTATGCAAGGGCTCAGACCCAGGAAACAGATTTGGAATCCTGGCAGGTGAAAGAAGATGCAAGACATGGTTGAGTCAGCCTTTATTCAGAAGTGGAAACAGCCTCAGCCATTTTCAGCTTTAGACCCCATCCAGTTCCATTTTGCTCCCATCAGTTCCATTTAGCCCATTTTTGAATACAGTCTAAACAAAGAAGGCACACTGCCAACAGCTTACACCAGTGCACACATGCTCACAAGCAAATGTTTGTGACCTTGAGTATGCACACTGAATCAGAGTGTTTCTGACCTTGACTACACACTAATAGTGGCCTTGGCTACATGATAAAAACATAACATAACCTGCTGGAAGCCTCTGCAAGGAAGCCTAACTGGCCTTCCCCAACATATTTATTTCTGGAATGCAAGAATGTTTCCACATGCAAAAAATCAACCAATATAACACCCTAYATTAACATAATTTTTTTAAATGTGAGAATATTTTTATTGGTTGTTCAAAACATTACATAACTCATGACATATCATCTTTCATACATTTGATTCAAGTGGGTTATGAACTCCCATTTTTACCCCAAATACAAGTTGCAGAATCACATCGGTACATTAACATAATTAAGGATGGAAAATCACCTGATTATTTCAGTTGATGCTGAAAAAAGCATTTCAACACAACTCAACACCCTTTACATGATAAAACACTTAACAAATTAGGAAGAGAAAAAAACTACCTCAGAATAATAAAGGCCATATATAAAAATTCCCCAGCTAACATTGTAGTCAATGGTAAAACACTGAAAACCTTCTAAGATCAGAACCAAGACAAGGATGCCCATGCTAACTACTTCTATTCAACATAGTATTGGAAGTTCTAACTTGAGCAGTTAGGCAAGAAAAGGAAACAAAATGCATTCAAATATTTTAAAAGAAGTAAAATTATCTCTATTAACATATGATATGCTTGTATATGTAGAAAACCTAAATATTTCACTCAAAATATTAGAACTAATAAATGAATTCAGCAAAGTTGCAAAATACAAAGTCAAAATACAAAAATCAGCTGTGTTTCTATACACTAACATTGAACAATTCAAAAAGGAAATTCAGGTAACAATCCTATTTACCATAAAAAGTAAAATGAAATACTTGGGAAAAAAATTAATCAAGACACATATATGAAAACTAAAAAATATTGCTGAAAGAAATTGAAGAAAGCATAAATAAATATAAAGACATTTTATGTTTATCAGTTGGAAGAATTAATGTTGTGAAGATGTTAATTTTACCTGCTATAGCTTGGATCACGAGCATACTCCAAAGGCCCTTGTGTTAAATGCTTGGTTCCCAACTGTGACACTATTGGGAGGCAGTGATACCTTTCAGAGATGGGGTCTGGTGGGAAGATATTAGAACATCAGAGACATGCCTTAAAGGGGTACAGGGATCCTGGTCCCTTCCTTTCTCTCTTTGCTTCCCATCCACCATGAGATGAGCAGGACTCTGTCAGGTCCTCACTGTGATACACTGTGACTGACGCCACAGGCCCAAAGCACAAAGACAAACTGAAACCTCAGAAACCATGAACTGAAATCGATCTTTTTCTCTCCTTTATTTGTTTATCACTGGGCACGATGATGCATGCCTGTAATTTCAGCAGTTCAGGAGACTGAAGCAGGAGGATTGCAAGTTTGAGGCCAACCTTGGCAACTTAGTAAGACCCTGTCTCAAAACTTAAAAAAAAAAATAAGATAAAAAGGACTCAGGGGTAAAGTGATCTTTGGTCCAATCCCCAGTAACAAATAAAACAAAAAAAAATTCACTTTAAATTGATCGTCTAAGGTATTTTTGTCACAGTGACAGAAAGCTAACACAAAAAATTGGTACTAAAAAACATGGCCATTGCTGTGACTGCACCTTAGAAAATGTGGAAAAGACTTTGCAGTTGATTTGCATAACGAGTTTGGAAGTTTGAGGGAAAAGGTAGAGAAGTCTAGAATGCTGTAAGGAAAGTTTAATGGACAATTCTGGCAAGGGCTCAAAAGACCAAACTGTTGATAGAAATGCAGAAAATAAAGGCCAAGACGAGTAGGTTTCAGATAGTAATGAGGATTGTATTGACAATTGAATTACAGGCTGTCCATATTACATGTGGCAAAGAATTTTGATTTTTTTTTTTTTTTTGGTCCATGCCCTGAGACTTTGTAAGAGGACCAATTTAAAGGTGACAGACAAGTTAAGGCAACACATAGTTCAGGCTACAGGATGGAAATTTACAGTAAAAATTAGGGGCAAAAGTCAGAATGGAAAGATTTGAAAAATTCAAAGTTTGCAAGAAAAGAAGTGTGTTTAAAGATGCAGCAAAGCAGCATGTAGAGATGAGTGGCATTAAAAAGAAACCAAGTACTTTGCACCAGGACAATAGGAAAGATACTTCGACCGTATTTCAGGAATCAAGATACCCCACCCACTGCAGGCTGAAAGGTGCAAAAGTGTGAATTCACTTCAAAGACATTCACTTGAGGAGAGAACCCCAAGGTGCCCTCTTCACAATATTACTACATTAAAAAATAAAAACTGGCTCAGCATATTTGTGTAGATCTCCTTATGGATTCTCTAATCTGACCCGTTGATGAATATGAATATCCCTGTGCTGATACCCTGTAGTCAGCTTTAACATTGG